GCGTGGTAGCATGCGCCTGTAGTTCCGGCTACTTGGAAGGCTGAGGTGGAAGGATCGCTGGAGACAGCAGTTCGAGGCTGCGGTGGCTAGACCTCTTGAGCTTGGTTGGTATGGTGTCTGTTCTCAGCAACCTTGACTCATGCGCTGCCCCTCCCCTGGGTTGTACTTACCTACCTTTTATTGATGGCTGCACGTCCTGACCACCCAGTGAACAATGAAATAGTTAAATTGATGCATAAGGATCTAGTATATTCCTTTGAGGTGCTGTATGGTATTTCGTCCTACAAAATTCTACACTTTTATTTAGCCATATTGATGGATAAGTAGGTTAATTTCAATATTATGCTATTACAAAGAATATTCTAGTGAACACTGGTGTAAATGTCTAAATACCTGTGCAAAGTGTTTTTTCATGGTAGATTTTTTTTTTTTTTTGAGTCGAAGTCTCATTCTGTTGCCGACTGTAGTGGCATGCTCATGGCTACCGCACCTTCAACCTGCTAGGTTCAGATGATCCTTGCCCCTCAGTCATCCAAGTAGATGGAACTACAGGCATGTACCACCACGCCCGGCTAATTTTTTGATTTATTATAGAGATGAGGTCTCACCAAGTTGCCAGGGTTGGTCTTGACCCGTGAGCTCAGGCAATCCTCTCATCACAGCCTCCCAAAGTGCTGGGATTATAGGTGTGAGCCACCGCGCCTAAAGGTAGATTCTTAGAAATAAAATTCCTAGGACATAAGGAATATGTCTTTTTAGTTTCATTGTGGACTTCCAACTATTCCTATTGGTTGTATGATCTTCCACTTCTATCAGTGATTTGTGTTTAGTGTTCTTTTTTCTTTTATTTTTTGGACATAGATTTTGTCATATTAATGTTTCAGATATTTTCTCCTTTTTCCATTTGTTGCTTTAAATTCTTATCCAGGTTCTTAGATTCTTTGTATTATTTTCAGCTTTATTTTTTTTTTTAATTTTTAAATTTTTTATTTTAAAGATATGGGGTACAATTCAGGGTTAGGTATACAAATGTTCATTATGCAGGTACCCTTGTTGATAAGGTATGGCCCCCCCCCCCCCAGCAGTTTCAGCTTCATTTTTTTAACCAGAATTAGTTTTTTGAGCCGGGTTCGGTGGCTCAGCCTGTAATCCCGCTCTTTGGGAGGCCAAGGTGAGTGAATTGCCTGAGCCCACGGGTTCGAGACCCGCCTGGTCAACTTGGTGAGACCTCATCTCTACAATAAATCAAAAAATTAGCTGGGCGTGATAGCACACGCGCCTGTAGTTCCAGCTACTTAGAAGGCTAAGGCGGAAGGATTGCCGGAGCCAAAGCAGATCGAGACTGCGGTGGCCAGGAGCAGCCATTGCACTCCAGTCTGGGCAACTGAGTGAGACTCCAACTCCAAAAAAAAAAGAATTAGTTTTTTGTGTGATTTTATTTATTTATTTTATTTGCCTAACCACTTGTCCAAACACAATTTATTGAATACTTGAATCTTTCCCATTGACTTATAATGGCACCTCTATCATACATCAAACTTATATATGTGTATAAGCCTGTGTCAGAATTCTATGCTCTTTCTTTTACCTATTATATATATATATTTTTTTTTTCCCCATAAAATAGAGTTTTAAGTACTATGTCTTTATATTCAAACTTGTTCGGTAGAACAAAACTTTACACATCTAAAAATTTATCTTAGTTATTCTTTTTCTCATTCATATGAATTTTTGAATATGCTTATAAAGCCTCAAGAAAAGTTATATTGAGAATTGGTTGGGATTCTACTGTCTTTGTGTGTTAACTTAGGAATAATTGCCATTTTGATGAAGTGTGTCCTCCCATACTTACACAAGATTTATTTATATCTCTTATGTCTTGTAAGAGGTTTTTGTTTTTCCACTAAGATACTGTATTTTTTTTTTTTTTTGAGTTGGAGTCTCACTCTGTTGCCCAGACTGGAGTGCAGTGGCCGCTCCCGGCCACCGCAGCCTTGACCTGCTGGGTCCTGGCGATCCTTCCACCTCAGCCTTCCCAGTAGCTGGAATTACAGGCATACGCTACCACGCCCGGCTGATTTTTTTAATTTATTGTAGAGATGAGGTCTCGCTGCCCAGGCGGGTCTCGAACCCGCGGGCTCAGGCAATCCACTCATCTCAGCCTCCCAAAGGTATTGCAAGACTTTTAATGTGTTCACCACTGAATGTCTCATTTGCTGTAGATTTCTTTTGGCTATTCCTTATCTCAGTTTGAGGATGTTTCTCTCTATTGCCTGGATTGTTAAGAATGTGCACAAAAGGGAGACAAAATTGTTTAATTTTAGAATACCAATACTGTGAATAGCTTTATGCCAATCAATGTGAAAGCCTAGATGAACACTTGAGTTTCTTCCGTTTTGCTATTTTCTTTTTTTTTTTTTTGAGTCGGAGTCTCACTCTGTCACCCAGACTGGAGTGCAGTGGCTGTATCTTATAAAGACTTGTATCTGGAATAAATAAAGAACTCCTGTAACTCAATTTAAAAAAAAAACCTTAATTTTAAAATGGGCAAAAGGTCTAAATTAACATTTCTCTGAAGAAAATATAAAAATAGCCAATAAGCACATAGGATCGTCAGCAATATTAGTCATTAGGGAACGTAGATGAACATAACAATAAGATACTACTTCACACCCACAAAGGTGGCAAAAACAAAAATTGGGTAAGAAAAAGCATCAGGAGGCTGGGCACAGTGGCACATGCCATAATCCCAGCACTTTGGGAGGCTGAGGTGAGAGGACTGCCTGAACCCATGGGTTCAAGACCAGCCTACACAGCTTGGCAAGACCGCATCTCTACAATAAATCAAAAATTTAGCCGGGCATGGTAGCATGTGCCTGTGGTCCCAGCTACTTGGAAGGCTGAGGTAAAAAGATCACTTGAGCCCAGCAGGTAGAGGCTGCAGTGGCCATGAGCATGCCACTATACTCCAGTCTGGGGACAGAATGAGACTACTCTGACTCAAAGAAAAAAAAAAGAAGTAGCAGCATCTGGGAGGATGTGGAGACACCCTCATCCACTGCTGGTGGAAATGTAAATTGGTGACAACAGTCTGACAGTTCCTGAAAAAGTTAAACATACAGTTACTACTTGACCTAGCAATTCTACTCCTAAGTATATAACCAAGAGAAAAGAAAACAGATGTCTGTACAAAAATGTGTACACAACCGTTCATAGCATCATTATTCATAATAGCAAAATGGGGTCGGGCTCGGTGGCTGGCCTGTAATCCCAGCACTTTGGGAGGCTGACGCGAGTGGATTGCCTGAGCCCACGGGGTCAAGACCCACTCGGGCAACTTGGCAAGATCTTGTCTCTACAATAAATAAAAAATTAGCTGGATGTGGTAACACACGCCTGTAGTTCCAGCTACTTGAAAGGCTGAGGTGGAAGGATCACCAGAGCCCAGTAGGGCGAGGCTACGGTGGTCGTGAGTGTGCCACTGCACTTCAGTCCAGGTGACAGAGTGAGACTCCAGCTCAAAAAAAAAAAAAAAAAGAAATTGAAAAGTTTTGAGGTTTTCAACTTATTCTTCTCTTTCAAGTTTTTGTGGCTGTATGAGTTTCTTGATTTCTTTTTTTTATAATCGATATTTTTTATTATGATATTGTGGGGTACAGTTAAGGGTTAGGTATACAAATATGTTTTGTTCAGGCACCCTTGTTGATAGAAGGTGTCTCCCCATTCCCAGACAGATGTTTACTACAATTAATCCCATCTCCCTTCCCCTCCCCCCAAGTTTCTTGATTTCAATACAAATTTTAGGTATTGATATTTCCAAAAAGATGCCACCTGGGAATCTGATAGGAATTGTGTTGAATTTTTAGGTCAATTTGGGGGAATATGCATGGGACTTGTGTTTGAAGAAAGAAGAGTAATTGGAATGTTTTTGCTGATGTCTGGATTCATTGACAGAACTTGGGAAGTCCAGAAAGGAAGGTGGCAAGAACATGCATTTTAGATGCTGCGGCCCATGTGGCTGTCTCCAGGGGACCGGAGAGAGCGACAAGACATTAATAGAGACACAGACACAAAGACAAAGAAAAACTGGGGCCAGGTGGGACACTTTCCTCTGATGGAAGAGAAGTGGCCCCGAACTAGCTCACCATGTTTATTTTATAATCAAGCACAAAGGAAGTTGGAAGGGATTCAAATTCTGTGAGGGAGCTACAGCGGAATTATGTTGCTACCTAAAAGGCAAGCTGTTCTGTGGTTATCTTCTTGTAGCTAAAGCTTTATTGTAGCTAAGACTTTATGTGCACTATGTGTACCCAGATGTGTGGGCATTTGAGACACCGTTTCGTGTAGTGGGCTGCATCCCTCATAGCCTGCCTTTGGCTAGAATGCAGAGCTTCCAAGTGAGACCTTGCCTACAAGCTTGGGGCCATTAAGTGAGACCTTGCCATTGCTTGGGCCTTTACTCAAGGCTTGCTACAGTGACAGTGCTCGTCTGCTCCCCACATCATATCCACTCCTGACATTTAGACACTAAACTTAAGGTGTTGCAGGACATCCAAGTGAAATGTCCCATAGGCAGCTGGAAGCATGTGGTAGTGGTCTAGGAGTAAAGGGAGAACTCTGAGAGCAGTGTGAAAGTGATGAGAGTCAATGAGATCGCCGATGGAGAGAAAAAGGAAGCACTAGGGCCTGATCTTCAAGGAGTGTCCATACTGAGAGTGCAGGATCAGGAAGAGGAACTAGAGCTGTAAGGGGGAAATCAGGCTTGACTGATGCTAGGGAAGCCGCTGGAGAGAGAATCTGCCCAGAAGTATAGCTTCCTTTAGAGAAGTTGAAGAGAGTGAGGGCTGGGAGGAGTGCCCAGTATTAGTGTGACCAGGAACCTTCTACTGTGTCCTCCGGGAAAAATTCATGGCACACTTGGGATAAGACCTTTATGGAACATAGGTCTCATGGGAGCCAAGGGCAGGGCTTGTCCTCATAGCTTTCTTTCCTCCTTCAAGTGTGGAAATCAGGAGACCAAGCAAAGGGGAGTGTACTTCAGATTGTCATGCCTCGGGTGCACTTGGATCTTTCTTTTTTTGTTTCGTTTTGTGAGTTCCCATGTCTGTGACCTAAGAATGGCTAGAGGTCTTGCCTCTAGAACTCTACCCCATCTCAGACTGCTCCTGTGGCTTTCCTGCCTAATAGCTTCCCTTGAAGCTGGGTTCTACACTGATATGGATGTATCCTTTTCAGTGTGTCATCCCAGCTCCTCTCTCCTACCCCTTTGCCCACTAACACACCATATTCATGCCTTCTGTACCCCTGATGACTCTTCCCTTCAGACTGAGAATGCTGTTGAGCGGTAGAAGCTTGTCATTTCAGGGTACTGCAGCATATGAGGACCTGTTTGGGGACTGTACTCAGAAGGAGTAGAAAGGTCTGTCCCTCAGTCAAAAATCTCTATACTAGAGCATGATATTGGTAAATTACTGTAGCATGGTCTCCTTGGGCAATGATTCTGTTCCCCAGTAATGTAGACTCTCCATGCTGTATATTTTCTTTACTGTATTCCTTGCCTTTTACAAATTTTTAAAATTTATTTTAAAATTACTTAATATATATATTTTTTAATTTTAAAGATGGGGGTACAATTCAGGGTTAGGTATACAAACATTGATTATGTAGGTACCCTTGCTGATGAGATGTGCCCCTCCCTCCCCTAGCAGTTTCCCTCAACTACCAATCCCACCCCCCAGTTAATTAGTATTTTAGAGATAAGGTCTTGCTATGTTGCCCGGGTTGGTCTCAAAATCCTGAACTCAGGCGAATCTCCCACTTCAGTCTCCCAAAGTGATGGTATTACAGGTGTGAGCCACCATATCCAGCCCTCTTTGTTTTAACATTTTATTGTGAACATAGGTAAACTAGAATGAACCAACAGTATGGTGAATCTCTCTGCACCCAGTTTTAACAATGATCAACATTCTCTTTACTAGTTGTTGACTGGCATAGGGTGATTAGGTAGGGCTTTAGTTGTAAGGAAACAAGAGTCACTCAAATTACTTTAAGTAAGGAGCTGTGAGTCGTAAGGCTTAAAAAACAGGAACCCAGAACAAACCAGTCAGCTAAACCAGATTGTGAGAAACAACCTTGACCTAGGGCATCCCGGGAGCCTGAATGACAAAAGCAAATGAATTTTTACTCCAGTGTTTTAGTGTGAATGCAACACAGCTGGTCCCAGCGTATCAGTTTTCTCTCTGCTTGTCCTCCTCCTGCTGCCCATTTTCTTCATTATGAGTCTTTGGTCCTTCTTGAAGCTCCTTTCCAATTCTTCTTTTTGTTCTCTCATATTGTTTGCTGTAGCTCCTGATGTATGGGCTTCTCTCTATGCATTATTTCAGCCTTCTTTGCTACTCAGAATTATCTTCATTTTGCCCAACTTCCAGGTCTGCATTTACCTATAGAGGGATTTCAATTGCTATAGCCATTACACATCATATTGTTTGGGAAGAACTTTTGTCCAGGTCATGGCAGAGGCTGATGGCCAACCTACATATAAGTTATCTTTGGGTCTGGTGTCTGTCCTTGACCTAGTCACCTGTGGTCCACCATGGGATACTCAGGTCAACTAGCCACAAAACATGATTGCTTCAGAGTCTTCTCTGCAAAGACTGGAGCAGGGCAGTTTCCTAGATGGGTTTATTGGTAGGGTGGGCCTTGTGATTGACAAATTTGGGTTAGTAGCCAACTCTACAGAGGGTGAACTTAAGAGTCATTGCCAGACCTCTTTAAGTTTTGATAGGCCAGATGATGTGATGGCTGTGGCCCTGATTAAGACATGATGAAAGGAACTAACATTTTGGTATTTAGTTATAACCATGGTTACAACAGTTACCTTCTCCCAGATTTTGTATTCAAAATTCCAGAATTCAAGGCAAATATTTACCTCTATAGATTCCTTTATCTTCTAGAGAGTCAAGATATCAAAGATATATTTTATTTTATATTTCAAACTATTTATGTTCCTCGTATTGTTTATAGGAGTACAGAACTGGCTCCTGCCAGTCCAGTGTTCCGGGGTCAGTGGCATCCCCACTTTTAGGGCTCTGTTGTCCCCTTCAGCCCTGCTCCCCAGCATTTCTGAACACACAGCTTCTGCAAATCTTGTTACTGGCCAGTTGTATAAGATCTCTCCTTTTTTGTGTACTTTCCTAATTGTACCCTCATAATATAAATCTCTATCAACTCATTCCCATCCCTTCCCTCTCTCTTTCTTATATTTTACTTGAGATATTTGCCAGCCTTCTCTCTCCTGACATTTGTTCTAAGAATTGTGGGACCATAGAATGTAGTGGTTGGAAAGGAATTTAGAGTTCATAGTTTTACTAAGGAGGCATAATACCATAGTGATTTCCACAGGATTACAAATATTTTGCAGTCTGGTCCCTTGCTTTCCAATAGCCCTTCTGACTTGCTGTGTTGGCTCATCATCTGTCTGTCCTGGAATCTTTTTTTACACTTTCCTCCACTGGTCGTCTTCCCCTTCCTTTTCTATTCCTATGAAAAAATTGAGCTATTTCCTATTTTGCTCTTTTTCTTGCATGTCATTCTTTTTTTTTTTTTTTAACCATATTTGACTCTTTTTTCAGGTGCACAAGCTCTTGATGATTCTATTTCCTCAAAAGAACAAGAAATGAGTAAAAGTTGTTTTCTTCTTTCTTTTGGCAGCAGATGCAAACATCATGGAGCATTCAGAGTTGACTCTGAAGCAGGAAATTTCTAAAGGATTAGAGTCATCTGATAGGACATCAGGGGGACTCTTTGGGGTGGTTCCTGGGGAACCAAAGACTGGAGATGTCAGTCAAGATACTTTCAAGAAGCTAGAGGTGTCATCCTCAGATGAAGAAGGGAGCAGACTGGAATGTGATTTCTTGGAAATAACAGGAGAGGATAAGGAAAAATCCACAAAAGACATATATGAGGAAAATGAGGAAGTCAGGGAACATCCAAATCTGTTCTCTGGTTCTGCTGAACATGAAAGAGTTCTAAAGGGACAAAAATCCTATCAATGTGATGAATGTGGCAAAACTTTCAGTTGGAGTTCACACCTCATTGGCCATCAGAGAATCCACACCGGAGAGAAACCCTATGAGTGTAATGAGTGTGGTAAGACCTTCAGGCAGACCTCTCAGCTCATTGTTCACCTCAGAACCCACACAGGAGAAAAACCTTATGAATGCAAGGAGTGTGGAAAGACCTACCGGCATAGCTCCCATCTCATCCAACACCAGAGACTCCATAATGGGGAGAAACCTTATAAATGTAATGAATGTGGAAAAGCTTTTAATCAGAGTTCCAAACTCTTTGACCACCAGAGAACACACACTGGAGAGAAACCTTTTGAATGCAAGGAGTGTGGAGCAGCATTTAGTCGGAATAAAAATCTTATCCGACATCAGGTCCTTCACACTGGTAAAAAACCTTATAAGTGTAATGAGTGTGGAAGAGCTTTCTGTTCCAATAGAAATCTTATTTACCATCAGAGAAGCCATACTGGGGAGAAGCCTTATGAGTGTCATGAATGTGGCAAGGCCTTCAGTCGGAATAAATGTCTTATTCGACATCAGAGTCTCCACAGTGGGGAAAAGCCATACAAATGTAGCAAATGTGGGAAAACTTTCAGTCAGATCTCCCAACTTGTTGACCATGAGCGAAAACATACTGGAGAAAAACCATTTAAATGTAATGAGTGTGGTAAGGCATTTGGTTTGAGTAAATGTCTTATTAGGCACCAGAGACTTCACACAAGTGAAAAACCATATAAATGCAGTGAGTGTGGAAAATCCTTCAATCAAAACTCATACCTCCTTATTCACCAGAGAATTCACACTGGTGAGAAACCATATGAATGTAATGAGTGTGGGAAGGTCTTTAGTTATAATTCCAGCCTTATGGTACATCAAAGAACCCATACAGGGGAAAAGCCTTATAAATGCAATGATTGTGGGAAAGCCTTTAGTGACAGCTCACAGCTTATTGTGCACCAGAGAGTTCACACTGGAGAGAAACCTTATGAATGTCTTGAGTGTGGGAAAGCCTTTAGTCAGCGTTCTACTTTTAATCACCACCAACGAACTCACACCAGAGACAAGCCCTCAGGTCTGGCTAGGTCAGTTTCTTAAGGAATGGTTCTCTAAGACAGAGAGCAAGGACCTTTGAGTTAAGCTTTCTTTATAAGAAGGATGTCCACCCTGATTTCTTGGAGCCACTAATCACAGTGGAACATTCCCTACCTGCTTTCCCTTGGGTCACTAAGGTGGAAGAGTGGGAATAACTCAGTGCAATCCTTACCTATTATTAGAAGAATACGACTATACATTTTATTTACTTGTAGGTTTCCTTTTTAAAATTTTTTTAAACTATTTAAAAATCTATTTCATTTCTTAATTATGCATCCTTAATCAGGTTGCGTGCCTCTCAAGGACAGAGATAATATCTTCTCTAGTCTTCTTTGGTTCCACCATTTCACTATTTACATAAAGTTATTCAATAAGGCTGATTCATGATTTCCTGCCCTGTGGCTATGGCCCTCCCCATTTACTCTGTAGACATTAATCTGCCGCCTCTCATCGCTTATATTTCCTACCTAGAAAACCTTTTCTTCCTTTTTGCTAATCTCTGTCACTCACAGCCTTCAAGATCCATCTCATCTCTGAAGGAGATTCCTTTTCAAATGTGTCTTTATTTCCTTTATATTTCTATTGATTTGACCTCACTGCTTTGAATTAACTGGTGCTACAGTGTACAACTGTTACCATTTTGGTAAATTGTTCTGAATTTAATGTGTGTGTATATACTTTCATATTGACTTATAGGCTATTGAGATTAGGTATAGTATCTATTTATTTTCGTATATATATAAAATAGTTTGTGGTACTTTTTTTTTTTTTTTTTGAGTTGGAGTCTCACTCTGTCACCCAGACTGGAGTGCAGTGGCTGCTCCCGGCCACCGCAGCATCGACCTGCTGGCCTCCAGCGATCCTTCCGCCTCAGCCCTCCGAGTAGCTGGAACTACAGGCGCGCGCTACCACGCCGGGCTGATTTTTTCTTTTTATTTATTGTAGAGATGAGGTCTTGTCAAGTTGCTCAGGTGGGTCTTGAACCCGCAGGCTCAGGCAATCCACTCACCTAGGCCTCCCAAAGTGCTGGAATTACAGGCTGAGCCACCGAGCCCGGCTGTGCTACTACTTAAATAAGTTTTTTTTTTTTTTGAGTTGGAGTTTCATTCTGTCGCCCATACTGGAGTGCAGTGGCACACTCCCGGCCACCACAACCTTGACCTGCTGGGCTTCAGCAATCCTTCCACCTGAGCCTTCCAAGTAGCTGGAACTACAGGTGCGCGCTACCACGCCCGGCTAATTTTTGATTTATTGTAGAGATGAGGTCTTGTCAAGTTGCTCAGGTGGGTCTTGAACCCGCAGGCTCAGGCAATCCACTCACCTAGGCCTCCCAAAGTGCTGGAATTACAGGCTGAGCCACCGAGCCCGGCTGTGCTACTACTTAAATAAGTTTTTTTTTTTTTTGAGTTGGAGTTTCATTCTGTCGCCCATACTGGAGTGCAGTGGCACACTCCCGGCCACCACAACCTTGACCTGCTGGGCTTCAGCAATCCTTCCACCTGAGCCTTCCAAGTAGCTGGAACTACAGGTGCGCGCTACCACGCCCGGCTAATTTTTGATTTATTGTAGAGATGAGGTCTTGTCAAGTTGCTCAGGTGGGTCTTGAACCCGCAGGCTCAGGCAATCCACTCACCTAGGCCTCCCAAAGTGCTGGAATTACAGGCTGAGCCACCGAGCCCGGCTGTGCTACTACTTAAATAAGTTTTTTTTTTTTTTGAGTTGGAGTTTCATTCTGTCGCCCATACTGGAGTGCAGTGGCACACTCCCGGCCACCACAACCTTGACCTGCTGGGCTTCAGCAATCCTTCCACCTGAGCCTTCCAAGTAGCTGGAACTACAGGTGCGCGCTACCACGCCCGGCTAATTTTTGATTTATTGTAGAGATGAGGTCTTGTCAAGTTGCTCAGGTGGGTCTTGAACCCGCAGGCTCAGGCAATCCACTCACCTAGGCCTCCCAAAGTGCTGGAATTACAGGCTGAGCCACCGAGCCCGGCTGTGCTACTACTTAAATAAGTTTTTTTTTTTTTTGAGTTGGAGTTTCATTCTGTCGCCCATACTGGAGTGCAGTGGCACACTCCCGGCCACCACAACCTTGACCTGCTGGGCTTCAGCAATCCTTCCACCTGAGCCTTCCAAGTAGCTGGAACTACAGGTGCGCGCTACCACGCCCGGCTAATTTTTGATTTATTGTAGAGATGAGGTCTTGTCAAGTTGCTCAGGTGGGTCTTGAACCCGCAGGCTCAGGCAATCCACTCACCTAGGCCTCCCAAAGTGCTGGAATTACAGGCTGAGCCACCGAGCCCGGCTGTGCTACTACTTAAATAAGTTTTTTTTTTTTTTGAGTTGGAGTTTCATTCTGTCGCCCATACTGGAGTGCAGTGGCACACTCCCGGCCACCACAATCTTGACCTGCTGGGCTCTGGTAACCCTTCTGCCTCAACCTTCCAAGTAGCTAGAACTACAGGTGTGCACTACCACGCCCGGCTGATTTTTTGTAGAAATGAGGTCTTGCCAAGCTGCCCAGGTGGGTCTCGAACCCGTGGGCTCAGGCAATCCACTCACCTCAGTCTCCCAAAGCACAGGATTACAGGCTGAGCCACCAAGCCCAGCCTTAAATAAGTTTTAAAACTCAAATTGTACTATTGTTAACATCGGTACATTCTCCCCCATTACTCCTATTACATCCACTGGACTAGAAGCTTCTAAAGTTGGAAGTGACATCTGATCATAGTATATCACATACAGAGCCTCACTGATACTGTCTCTGGGTAGCCCTGGAAATTTTAGTATGGTACTTCACCCTTAAAGAGCCAATAGATTTGTGTGTAAATGTGTTTGTGTATCTAGGTGTTGGATTGGGCAGTCATATCCCACTAATATTTACTTTGACCTGCATGCTTACTTTAGTTCTGAGTTAGCTGACTATATCCTGCTTCCTAAATACATGTTTTGCAATCAAAATTACTGCAAAGAAGACTTGCTTTCATGGTTGTGGTATGGATGAGTGAAAAATTTCAGCTAGAAGCATTCCTAGATCATTAGAATTCATAGTGATGAGGTTTTTGGCAAGGTAATAGTGTTAAACTAATCTGTTGTCCTTATCAGCTAGTCCTAGCTATCTACAACTGTCATCTTAACTTCAAGATGAGAGCAGCACTCTTAATTATCCTAATTACCTTCCAGGCCATCTTTCATTTCTCAAAGACATAAGAAATAGGAAATCTCAGAAGATTTTCTCTCTTGCAATCATATGTCAGTTCATGAACTTGAACATCTTTTAGTTTCTACCCTTGCAATATGACTCAGTGCTGGGGTACCTTGTCCCTGGTATCCAGCCCCTTCTCTTTACATCCTCCCAACTTCCTCTTAACTGGCTGACAGGATCAGCACCTTGACAAAGGTGGAGGATGAGGCAATCTTGTCAATGTCAACTATATAACTTGGAAGGGAGGTTTTGTGAGCTGTGGTTTATGTCTCAGACATTGGAGAAGAAAAGAAAGAGAGTTGAGGCTCAAGAAAATAAAAATTTAATGTCACTCTAGGGAAGATATCTCAGATAAGGTTAGAAAGAATTATTGAGGGCCTAAAGTTTTTCAGGGTCTGTTAAAATTACTGAATTTACAACACAAGTGGAAATTTATCGTTTGTGAATATGTATTTTAACTCTTCTCAGCTATATTTTTGATATTTGTTTCCATTTTCCTTTAAAAGAGATGTACATAGGACTTTTTAATTTTTTTTGTTGTTGTTGTTGAGTTGGAGTCTTACTCTGTCGCCCAGACTGGAGTGTAGTGGCCGCTTCCAGCCACCGCAGCCTCGACCTGCTGGACTCCAGTGATCCTTCTGCCTCAGCCTTCCAAGTAGCTGGAACTACAGGCGTACGCTACCACGCCCGGCTAATTTTTGATTTATTGTAGAGATGAGGTCTCGCCTGCCCAGGCGGGTCTCGAACCCGCGGGCTCAGGCAATCCACTCACCTTAGCCTCCCAAAGGCGCGGGATTACAGGCTGAGCCACCGGGCCCGGCTGGACTTTTTAATTTTTTAAGTGTTTTACTTCTATAGCACTGAGATCCTAGGAAAGATCCTGACCCTCTATGAACTCAGGGGGACCAGCCTCCACAGTGAGTTGGACGTTTCTAGTCATGTCTTCACTAGAAGCACCCTGCCTGTTGGATAAAGCAATTTTCTTTCTGGTTCTTGTTTGCTCATCTTCTCCATACCAAGTCTCTGGAGGTTGGAAACTTGTACTGTCATAATTATATTAACCTACTATCATTAGTTTGGTATAGATGCTCAGTAGATATGAATCCCCTGACATCCTGAAAAAGCCTCAGGCTCTTGGATGGAGGAAAATTAGCTGCATTTGAAAGCCATACCTCAATTTCTGTTGATCACTGCTATATAAACTTAATTATTGATTTTTAAAAATTTTATCTGAATTTTTTAGTATTTCGCAGTTTCATATACTATTCCTTTTTGGGTTCTGATAAATATTCTATTGTATTTAGAAGTTTCCTTCTATTCCTGTTTTTTTTTTTTTTTTTGAGTTTGAGTGTCACTCTGTCGCCCAGACTAGAGTGCAGTGGCATGCTCCCGGCCACCGCAGCCTTGACCTGCTGGGCTCTGGTGATCCTTCCGCCTCACCCTTCCAAGTAGCTGGAACTACAGGTGTACGCTACCACGCCTAGCTAATTTTTTTGATTTATTGTAGAGATGAGGTCTCACCAAGTTGCCCAGGCGGGTCTTGAACCCGTGGGCTCAGGCAATTCACTCACCTCGGCCTCCCAAAGCGTGAGATTACAAGCTGAGCCGCCGAGCCTGGTTCTATTCCTGTTTTTAAAAGAAGTAGGGTATTTTAGTGCTTAAGAGCATAGACTTAGTTCCTGGTGCCCTAGGTTCAAATATTGGGGTCACCACTTTGTTAGGTGTATGACCCTGGGCAAATCACTACCTTCCTTGTATCTTAGTTCCTCCATCTATAAAATAGAGCTACCTCATAGGGTTGTGCATATTAAATTATTTAATATGTGTAAGGTAACAGTGCTTGGTACACAGTACACAGTTTTGCAATTATCATTATATTTAGAGTTTTTATTAGGAATGGTTGCTCTGTT